GGCAGAAACGAGTGATTCTTGCGTATGTTTCCATTATTCGACGGAGAGCGGCTTGGGCATCCTGCGTCATTGAGTCGGCCTCATCAAGGATGATAATTTTGTAAGGGGGGCACGGGTATTTCACTCCATCTGAAGAGACAGCTTCCGTCCTGGGGGTCTGTCTGGCAAAGTTCTTGATCTTCTCTCTGACGATAGAGATACCACGTTCATCAGAAGCGTTCAACTCGAGTACTCGTGCACGAAAGTTGTCTGGGCTGTTAGACTATAAGTATCAGCAAAGGAGCTTTTTAGTATGATGAATTTGCGAACCCGAACAGTTGCCTCGATAGTGCAAGGATAGTGGAGGTTTTACCAGTACCTGGTGGCCCATAGAAGAGCATGTGCGGAAGCTAAAGCTCTGTGTTCAGCTAGAGTCTATTGCAGCTATATGGGGTCCTTACATTTGCAGATGTCAGAGTCCTTCGTAGAACAGCAACCGTATGTTCTTGAGATGATACATCTTCGATCGTCTTAGGTCGACTTGATTTTAATGAGAACGCTATAATAGTGGAATGTGATATTTCAACTTACTACTTCTCTACCCATGGTTGAAGTGCAGGATCAAATGTATGTTTTGCTGATGGCTTTTGAGCAGCTTGATTTTGGAAGAAAGCCATTGGTGTCCGTACAGTGCAGACTGTAAAGGTAACGTCCCTGACCAGAACCCTAGAGGGCGCGCTTTCATTTACAATGGGACGCGTCTCGTCACGTCAGACGCGATATGTCACAGCCTCGTCACACCGTGTCGAGAGACACCCATTCACTCGACCACCATTCGGAATATTTGCCGCACTCCTGGTCCATGCTAAGGACCCTCTCGAACGTGTTAAACATGGAATCAGAGAATGGTGAGGAGATAGACCGAATTTACGCAATAATCAGGGCTAATTGGCATGCATGACAGCTTCATCCATAGGTCAGTCTCACTTGTAATCGTGTATAGCTGAAACTCTGAAGAATATGCGGATCAGCATCCAAACCGGATACATCATCTCTCATTGAAATCAAGAATGGGAAACCTATCCTTAAGCAAAAGCCTATATCTTTCGAGAAGATGTCAGATACCATGCAAGGCACGTAATATATGACCCATAACCCAAGAGAATATCACAAACTGGTTTGCTTTTAGAAATTGTGAAATTCAGAGAATGCTTGAACAACGAATGGAGGAGAAGCAATCACCTTTGGAGACAATATCTGATGACTTCCTACCACTTATTGCGAAACTGGTACAGGAAAGGTTAGTCCCCCGATATAATCCGAATATTCTGAAATTTATATGCCAACTAGTGACAAAACCGCGAACATTTTGTCCAAGTCAATACAACTAGAACTTGTACCAGCACAAGATGAAGACGAAGAATCCGGAGCGGAAGCAGCTGTTCCGTTAGCGTTACAGGCTATCGAGAAGGCCGTCAAACACGTTGCCACTCGTACCAACTACGGACTTGAATCTTCGACAGCTGGAGGAAAGGTTCCTGCCGCCTGGAATATTTGGAGATGGGAGGTCAAGGAGGAATTCAGACAATGGCTCCCAAAGTCTGCGAAGGATAAGGCAGAAGCTAGAACTGCTGAACGACGTCAGGTAAGTTGACTTTGCTAGTCTGTCTTATTTACTGCTAAGGAAATTGTACTTCCAGGCAAAAGCGGATTTGAAAACAATATTCCAAGACATGTCAGACGAGGACCGTTCTCGAATACTGGGAGTCAAAGTCAATAATCCTGACGCGGTTAAGAAGAAACAGCCGGTTAAACGAGAGGCAGACAAGAACAAGGGAAGTCCTGCACCACAAGCAAGTGCTCCAGATACCAACTCTCCTGAGAAACCGACTGTAGAAGTGGGTCATCAATTTTATTATGAACGGACTGGTATTGATATGATTATACCAGCCCGAGAAAGCTTCAGAGCCCGGTACGCCCTCTAAAAACAAGGCAAAGAGACAAGTGGATCCTGAGAAGGAGGCCAAGGTCAGTCTATATTGTGAGCTTGTGTTGGAAACCTCAAGTGAAATGTTATCCTTCGTATTGTAGCTAAAGGAACTGGCCGAGAAGAAACTTGCTAGAGCTGAGAAAGAAAAGAAGGAGAAAGAGGCTCAAGAGAAATCTCGTTCCCTTTTCGCCAATTTCTTTGGTAAAGCGAAACCCCAAGGATCACCGAAGGCAGCACCTTCGCAGTCAAGTGCACCTGTTGCTGGACCCTCGAGGACAGTATCAGAGTACCAGAGGACTTTCAAACCTTTCATCTTGAAAAAGGACGCGGATCTGGCACCCATAAACTATTTCCGCTCTGGTAGGCGAATGACATCTGTGTCGCAAACACACATCAATGGCAAAGAAATTATTGTTATTGATGATGATGAGCCGATAGATGTATCTCAGGATGTTGTTATGAAAGATGTCGGTCCTTCTGATGTGTCTTCACTTTCGGGACGAGGTAGGTTTTATTTATGTTGGTATATCTTGCTATTATTCACCGTCTGTTAGAACGGCTATCTCAGTCGATATCGAGACTGGCACAGATTGGCCCCGTACCCCCTCCGAGACGACTCCCTCATGGTCTACGAACGACACATCCACATACTGTCCGAACTGTTATCAACCAACTGAACGAGGCCGAAATTGCTGGTGATGACCAATTAGTTCGTTCTCTACTGTCTCTTTTGCGATCCCGAAAGGACATCCCTGCCAAAGTGTTGGTCTTCCGTGAAGATGCACGACCTGGGTATTTTGGTACTTGGACCCGACCTTCTCACGAAGTCGGTCCTCGAACGCCCTTCGCCAAAGATGTCGTAGCTCGTGACTATACTTATGATAGCGGAGAAGAGTGGGAAGAGGAAGACGGCGGAGACGATGTGGTTGAAGATGCCGAGGATGAAGATGCTGGGGCTGAAGAGCAAGATTCGGACTTGGAAAGCTGGTTAGTTGATGATGACGATGTTGAGGATCCTGGAACACCAATCGACGAACGTGATGGTTCACCTGGGTTGCTTGACTTGCCACCGCTGCCACCAAAAAGGAAGTCAGGCGAAGGTGAGGGTGCGAAGAGTGGGAAACGAAGAAAGGTGGTCGTTCAACTTGTGCCATTTACAAAGGGTCCCTGTTGGGAAAGTACAGTCGGTCAATGCGAGTATGAACCATTCAATCCATACAAGATTCACTTATTCAACGGTAATATTTTCCTATCTTGTATTCATGCATGCGCTTTGCTCACTCTGTTTAATTAGATTATCCTTGTCCCATTGACCCCTTCACATTTATCTCTACACCTATTGATGAGAAACCGCCCGTGCTAACAGCAAAGTCCTCGGCAGAAGAACCCTTTGCTGTACCGGCTTTGCCAGACCGTGTCGTAGCCCTTCAGTCAGGATCAACCTCAACCGCATCTCCAAATGCTACACCTAAACGTCAACCTGCCGCTCCGAAAACGCCTTTCCCACCAGAACACCTTCCTCTCTTGGTATCTAAGATCACTTCGATGGAAACAGGCAATATCACTGCCATCGTCGAGGTAGTCTATCAGGAACTGAGAAACCAGAAGGTGAAGAAGAATGCGATTGAAGCAAAGGTGAGGGAGATTGGTGAGAAGAACAAGAAGGTTTGGGTTGTAAAAGCCGATGTGAAGGTAAGCTCTTTCGATCTTTGCTGGATTGGATACCCACTGACGATAGCAACGTTAGGCTAGTATTGGACTTGCATAACGGATCGCCGTCATCACCATATATATCCCCCTTGATTTTCTGTAACATTTCTTTTCAGTGTACGAGCCATTAATTATACATAACCTGTCCGGGGTATCTCTACATTCTTACACATGGATACATTTCTTGAACCTAAGACTACAGCGGGAGATGACGAAGGTCGCAGCTACGACGAAGTGAGTTTCCATAGTTCGTGGGCATACTCGTAATATGTTTTGTTACCGTCGAACGACATATCGTGCACATCGCCGTGTTGCGCCCCTGAATGGGATGGAAATTTTGAGCTGCTGAGTCTCTAGAATGGTTGTAAGACTTACGAATGAGCATCTTGGTCATTCGACCATCTCTGTCCATTATAGGCTCGAAACCCAGACCCTTGAAGAGTGCTAGCCGCAGACTATAGTCATAATCATACCATGAGTACCTGCATATAATATACACAACTAAGAAGGGGACTCACGCAGTTGCATCGAGGTCATGCTCAGCAGCAGGATCTGACTTTTCCATCTCGGTAGTCTCTTGCTTCAAACGCGCAAGTTCTGCTTCTTTGCTAGCTAAAGCACTTTCAGCATCATTGATCGCTTTCGCAAGTTGAAGTCGGTTCGCATCTAGATCGTTCAAGATAGCAGTGTGTTGTTCTGCTGATGGACAGAGGATGGACGCGTTGCTGATACTCGCGCGGCATCTAGAATACGAGCGAGGGCTGGATACGGTACGGAAGTCAGTAAGACTTATAAGATGACGATTATAGAGAGAACACTAACCTCTTAGCTTGGCATGGGCATCATCAAGTTCCTTCTTGCGAGTAGCCTCTGTTTTAGCCATGAGCTCTTCAGCTTCCGCTATGGTCATGTAATCCTCCTCAGGATCCATGATAGGAATAGTTTCCTTTATGGCATTACTATTGTATACTATGAGGAATGTAACACAGTGAGCTGAGTAAACGACGTACATTGTCTCTTGTACTGTAGGCATATCGCAATATTAGTGGTAGTAAAGATCACGGTACGGTCCAGGGAGTCAGCGCTCTTGCTAGTGGAAGGCGACTGTAAACGCGACGCGTCCCAGACTACCAGTGCATGTGATCGCGTTTGTACATTATTCATTTCGGTCGAAGCTTGCTAGTCATACGGAATATGTATTTTTAAATGCTGAGCACTAAGTAGTAGTGATAGTATAAGACTACTATAAGTATGTCTTGACTCTGATCCAAGCTCGCTAGTAATACCCGGTTATGACTGTCGAGCATGCCTCTCTTATCAATCCGATATGGTGTAAAGGCTAACATTACCGCCTTTCATGTAAAATCCTCGTAAGGCATTTACGCGGTAGCTCGGGGTTCGATTCCCCGTATCGGAGCTTGATTTTTTATCTTACTCAGCCCAAGTCAAGTTCAGTTCCATTTAAACAATACCGCTATTTCAAGGAACTTATGTGCAAACATTAAGACGAAAAACGAGTAGCTAATTAATAACAAAATTACGTGTAATAAGGTAAATATAGCCACTACCAGTGGATTAGTGTTATGCCACAGTGGGATCCACTTTGACCACGACTTTGCCTGTGGCTTTCTTTGTCATGAGACGATCGTATGCGGCCAAAACCTGATCGAAATCATGAACAGAGTCGACGAGGGGTGTAAATTTCTCTGTTGATATAGGTATTGTTAGAACCGGTCATTGTAGAAATCGAAGAGTAGATCTTACTGTCTTCAATGAATTTGACCACACGGGCCAACTCTTCTGGGTGCTCGCCGACAGTGAATATACTGTTCATTTCGATAAGCTTCAAGCCCAAGCAGGTACGGAAAATACCCGTGCTTACCTGCACTTGCGGTTCACACCCCCTAACCAAGTAGGACGAAAGACTGCCCAGAGGAAGTTGACAATTTGTCCGAACTTGCCGTTGCCTTCAGGTTGTGGGCCGACGGACACAAAGGTACCACCAGGTGCCAGGTATGCTTCTGAAAGTGCGAAAAGCTTTGGGTCGATGGATCCGACGGTTTCGAATATGACGTTGAATTTAGGTGTGGGAGGGTTCGCGATTAATGTATCGTACACCGGACCTTTCGTGTAGTCGATAAACTGCGGGGGGATGAGTTGGAAGCTTTTAGGAATTAGCTACAAAAATAACTTACTTCATCAGCACCAAGAGCCTTGAGTTTATCCTCTTTGGCAGTGGATCCGGTGACAGTGACTTTACAGCCAATAGCCTTGGCAAATTGGATTGCAGCTAGCCCAACGGCGGTGCTACCTCCATTGATAAAGACACTCTGGCCAGGTTCCAGCTTGCCACGTTGGAATAAACCAATAGAAGCAGTGAGTCCGACCAACGAGATACCGGCTGCCACGGTAGGTGGCATATCGGCTGGTCGTTTTGCAATGGACGCTGCAGATATACGAGCGTATTCTGCGAGAGCACCTTGTTTGGTTTTCCTTTGTTCCTCTTTGGTGAAAATTGAGATATAGTATTATAACGAGTTTGTTTGGAAGTCACTTACGAACCCATATAGTACCAAAGACCTCGTCACCGACGGTGAACTTGCTATCGGCTGAAGCCACAACAACTCCGGCGATATCATTTCCCAGAGGATAGGGGCGGTTTGCTATGAAGTTTGGTAGCATACCGAGAACCTTGTAATCACTATGATACGTTCGAATATCAGTAAGTATGAACAAAAGAAGAAAAACCCAGGGGGAAACTCACACAGGGTTTAGAGCAGCTGCTTGAATCTTAACCAATACTTCTCCCTTTTTCAGCTTGGCCGAGACGGGAGCATTTTCTTCAAAGCGGATTGCTTGAGCAGGTGTTCCACGCTTGACTGCAAGCCAGGCTTTCTGCGTATCTGGGATTGAGTTGGAGCTGGAGGGATTAGACATGAGGGTAATTATTGTGAGATGAGAGTGTGCGGAAAGGTGTGTATTTAACTCGTGAAATGTCTGGGACCGTCGGGCCTGAGGCTTACCCACGCGGATCGATGTCAGACGGTACTCGGCATCATTTGTAAGAGGACCGAGGGTCAATGTGCAGAAGAGTTACTTGTGTCTTTCAACGGATGAACATATAGCCAATGAGACAACCATGATGTGTAGTTCGCCGACGTTCTTTGGTCAGCCTGACAGAATTATCAGCAGCTGAGAAAGTCGGGAGGCGGTAAGTTCGTCGCCGAGATTGATAACGTGTAAAAGGCAGCAATTATATTAGCTGGAGAGGCCTGGTCATCGTTGGGGCAGCCAAGGAGAGCTTGTCAATGAACTTGGGATTACGGAATGGCAAAAGTTGACCTCGATGACGTGAAGAGAGATAGACGCCGTAATGCGATAAGACAAGATCTTGAATCTCGCCCTGAACCCCAACAGTGCCACCAGGTGGTAGTCAGCATCTCTCTTCTCTTCACTGTTCATCGCAAGGACGAATCCGTCAAGTACCGGCGTTTTCTCTTTCTAACCACTATGGAGGTACGTAGACACGTTTATTTTACAACGCCCACCCCTCACGACCACTAGGCTCTCCTTGATTTCTCCAAAGACTTCGATGTCCAACTCATGGACAAGGTCGCAGCGGCCTTCTATTCTGGAGCTGGACGAGAGGTATGCTCGATCTCGGATCTTTCATGTCGCGTAGCGCATTAACTTCTGTCTCTTTTCAGCAACAAATGGCCCAGCAGGTACTTACCCAATTCCAAGACAACCCGGATGCATGGACAAGAGTCCCAGACATCCTTGAACGTTCCACATTTCCACAGGCAAAGGTATCTCTTCATTGTGCTATCCGATGCGGAAGTGGTGCTCACTTTAAGTTAATCAGTTCATCGGGTTGCAAATTCTGGAAAAACTCATCAACACGAGATGGAACACACTCCCGGAGGGACAACGTCTAGGTACGCGCGTGTTTGAACACGCCTCTGGCTTGCGCTGATCTATCCCGGTCCAGGTATCCGAAACTTTATTGTGCAGATCACCGTGAAAGTCGCGTCGGATGAGACTTCACTAAGGAGGGAAAAGACCTATGTCAACAAATTGAATCTCGCTCTTGTTCAAGTGCGCCGCGTTTCTCTATCCAAGTATACACATTGACTCTAATATTTTTCAAAGATCCTGAAACAAGATTGGCCACAAAAATGGCCTATGTTTATCAGCGAGTTGGTCGAATCCTCGAAAACTAACCTTTCCCTCTGTGAAAACAACATGGTCATACTCAAGCTGCTTTCGGAAGAAGTCTTTGACTACTCCGCAGAACAGATGACCCAGGCCAAGGTCAAGAAACTCAAGAACCAGATGTGTGGCGAGTTTTCTGAGATCTTCAAGCTTTGTTCAGAGATTCTTCAGGAGGCGCAGAAGACCACTCTCATCAAGGCCACCCTAGAAACTCTCTTGCGCTTCTTGAACTGGATCCCTCTGGGTTACATCTTTGAAACCACTATTATCGACCTGCTTCTTAATAGGGTATGTGTCACGCTTTGTGGGTCCCCTATTACCACTCATGACGCGTTTTGCAGTTCCTGGAAGCACCGGACTTCCGAAATATCACTCTCAAATGTCTGGCTGAGATTGCCGCCCTCAACGTTGGCCCCGAATACGACCCGAAATTCGTCATTCTTTTCGCCATGGTTATGACGTCTATCAACCGAATGATCCCTCCAAGCACGAACATTGCGGCCGCTTACGCTAATGCAGGCGACTCTGGACAAGAACTTGTTCTCAACATTGCTCTGTTCCTCTCGAACTTCTTGTCGAACCATCTCAGTGCTGTCGAGAACGACACTAACCGTGATGTTCTCCTGAATGCTCACCTTTATATGGTCAAGATATCTCAAGTCGATGAGAGAGAAATCTTCAAAATCTGTCTGGAATACTGGCTGAAACTTGTTGCCGAGCTCTACGACGAAATCCAAGCGCTGCCAATTGGCGATAGCGGAATTCTTATGGGACTCAGTCTTGGTGGCTCTTCAGGTTCAAGCATGTTGAATGGCATGAACCTCAGGAAGAATATCTACAGTGATGTGCTCTCGAACCTTCGTCTCGTGGTCATCGAGAAGATGGTCAAGCCTGAGGAAGTTCTTATTGTAGAGAACGAGGAAGGCGAGATTGTCCGCGAGTTTATGAAAGAGAGCGATACTATTGTGCTCTACAAGTCTATGCGTGAACTTTTGGTTTACCTCACCCACTTGGACGTCACTGATACTGAGGCGATCCTTACCGAGAAGCTTGCGAAGCAGGTGGATGGCACCGAATGGTCATGGCAGAACCTAAACACACTTTGCTGGGCCATTGGTTCCATTTCCGGCGCAATGAGTACGTACCTGGATGACGAAACCGCTCTTCTTTCGCTAATTAAGATTGTCTTTCCAGATGAGGAACAGGAGAAGCGATTCCTTGTCACTGTCATCAAAGACCTTCTCGGACTGTGCGAAATCAAACGAGGGAAAGACAACAAGGCTGTTGTCGCCTCAGACATCATGTACATCGTCGGACAGTACCCTAGGTTCCTCAAAGCGCATTGGAAGTTCCTCAAGACTGTTGTTAATAAGCTATTCGAGTTTATGCACGAGACACACGAGGGTAAGTCCATCTTGACCTATTACTTTTATTTCTTGCCTGTATCCTTTCTTTCTTTCGTGGCAGTTGCCCCCGCTATGCCCTATAATTCAATTGAATCAATTATTAAACCCCATAACCCATATGACCCCCCCCCATTCGCGAACATACGAGATTAACGTTGCCGGAACGCGGTGTGTATAGGTGTACAGGACATGGCTTGCGACACTTTCATCAAGATTGCGCAGAAGTGCAGAAGACATTTTGTCATGCAACAGTCGGGAGAGCAAGAACCATTTGTTGATGAGATTCTGCGGTCGTTGCATAGAATCACTATCGATCTTTCTCCACAGCAGGTACGTTGTTTCGTCTTTGTGATTGGGTGATTGTATACTGAGAGCATGCACAGGTCCACACCTTTTACGAGGCTGTTGGATACATGATTTCTGCGCAACCGAATAAGCCTCAACAAGAGCGGCTCATTGCGAAGCTTATGGAGCTTCCTAATAATGCTGTAAGAACTTGCCTTTGATGATATGGATTCCGAACTAACTTTGCTCCTTGAAGTGGGATTCGTTGATGGCGCAAGCCGTTCAAAGTGTTGACGTTCTTAGCAACATTGAAAACATTAAGGTCCTTGGTAATGTCTTGAAGACCAACGTCGCGGCGTGTACGTCGATAGGTAGCTTCTACCTACCGCAGATTGGACGCGTCTTTTTGGACATGCTTGGCTTGTACAAAGCCGTTAGTGGTATCATTAGCGAGTCCGTGGCACGGGAGGGTCAGCTATTCATAACTATAACGTGTTTTCCTCTGATTCTG